CCGCCACCGCCCCTTTCTTCCATAAATACCCCCCCGCCCCCGCCCCTCACCACCCATAAACTCCGATTCCCCGCACTAAACTTGGAATTCGAACATGGATTTACACGCCGCCGTGATGCCCGTCAAGGAAGAGCCGGTGGTTTATTTCCTAGAAGACGACGCCTTTGGCATCCCTGGCCCAGGCGGCGGAGGAGGAGGAGGAGCAGGTCCTCCTAAAACGGTGGAGGGGCTCAGGGAGGTGGGACCGCCGCCGTTCCTGAAGAAGACGTATGATATGGTCGATGATCCGAACACCGACCCGGTTATATCCTGGACTCCGACCCGGAATAGCTTCGTTGTCTGGGACCCGCACAAGCTCTCCACCGATGTTCTCCCCAAGTACTTCAAGCACAACAATTTCTCTAGCTTCATTCGCCAGCTTAACACATATGTAAGCATTTCTGTTCCCCGATCAACTATCGTTTGCTTGTTGTAATTTCACTTTTTTGTTTTTGTTTTTTTTTTTGATATGATCCATGAAATAGGATGTTTGGTTCGTGTTTGAAAATAATAAAATTAGGGTTCCAAGTTTGGGAATTAAGATTGCCTTTGGAATTCCAAGTAAATTGGGTGGAGACTCCTAAAATTGGGTGGCGGTGAGGTTTGGAATTGCTTACCTATTGGTTAACAAAGTTATGATATCATGGAACAACCCAACCAAAAGTTCAAATCTGTGGTTGTTCTAACAGTCGAATCGTAACGATACGAGCACTTAGGTATTAAAAATTCTGTAACCAAACAAGAGCTATTGGTATGCAATTCTCATTCCAGTAGATGATGGGGCAAACCGAACACGGACTTAAGAGTTTAGGATCTGAGGTTTTTTTTGTTGTTGAAAGTCAGGTTACGTGTTTGAAAAAAAGGAATGAAAGTGATACTGTTTTTTCTTCTGGAATTTGATTTAGCGGTTCAGGAAAATTGATTCAGATAGATGGGAATTTGCGAACGAAGGGTTCCAGAAAGGGAAGAAGCATTTGCTGATGAGCATCAAGAGGAGAAAACACCATCCTCCACACATGATGCTCCAGCACCACCAGCCTCATCATCAACACCAGGCTCCGGGAGCAGCACACAAGTGGTTTGGTTCGTGCGATGAGGCCGAAGCAGAGATATGCAAGCTGAGGAACGACCAGAACACGATGAAGATGGAGATCATGAGGCTGAAGCAACAGCAGGAAAGCACCGACAGTCATCTTGCCATGGTCAAGGAGCGGCTGGAGACCACTGAAACCCGACACAAATACATCGTCTTCTTCATCGTCAAAGCCTTCAACAACCCTTCCTTTGTTCATCACTTCGTCGAGAAAATGAGGCAGCGCAATGGCGGTGGTGGTGGGGTGAGGGCCGCCACGAAGAAGAGAAGATTGGTTGATGATGCTGCAATGAGCACTACCGATCGCCCGCCCGGCGGGCCCCAAGAAGAGTTAGTGATGCTTCAGTCCGAAATACAAACGCTCTTCTCCTCCGATGATTCGAGCAGCCCTGTCAAGGAACAACAACAGCAACAACAAGGAGAGAAGATGGGTGTCAAGAACAACAACAGCAATAATCCTGCTGGGGGGATCGGGAGTCCAGAGATGAGCTCTGAGAATTTCATACTGTGGGAGAAGCTTGTAGAGGACGACATGATTTACGAGAACGAAACTGAAACTGCCAAACAGCACGGCGAGATCGTCCACGAGCTGGAGAATCTGATCGCCCGGCCTTCCCCGGAATGGGTACCAACTTAAAAAAAAAAGACTCTTCTCCCTTCTCCATCATCATCACCACTGAACTGCATGCATGCGCCTGTTCATCGTTGCATAATTACCAGGAGCTCATCAGAGTCGTTTTGATGAACCAGTTCATGGAGAGGAGGAATTAAAAATGGCTACTGGATCGATGTATAGTGTATATATGTATAAATGCGTTTTCATATGTTTATGGTATGGTCTGTAGCTAGTTTGCACCCGCCATGTGTATATTTAGGGTGGTGTATCATAGTATATATGTTTGTAGTTTTTGGTTTCACCCATATAGACAGGATGGTACTTTTTGGTCATAGTCTTTGTACGTAAAAAAGTATATAATACTAGTGAAGTTTTAGGTATACAATGTTTTTGTGCTCTGTTATCATTAAATGTCCCCAACATTTTTTTCAATAAATAGTTTAAACAAAAATCACTAATTAAAGCTAAATAAATACTCCCTCTGTTACGGAGTATTCGTCCAGTTTTGACTTTTGGAACTGTTCATCTAAGCAATTTGACTCATCAAATTCTCTCAATGTGTAAGTTTAAATATAGTGTGTGATCTTGTTTGATTTGTCTTAACATATAGATAATTAATACTCCCTCCGTCCTAAAACTTTCTTCTCGTTGCGCAAAACGAAGAAAAATCCTAAGTTTTTTCAATCTATTTTATTTAAATATTGGTATAGAAATAAAAAATAAAACATACATATTTAAAAACTACATCAAAAGTTCAACTAAACAAGTGGTGACAAGAATATTTTATTTTATCATGTAGGCCATGAAAAACATAAATAAATATAAATTTCCGTGAAGTTGGAATAGTGCTCTGGGAAGAAAGTTTTAGGACAGAGGGAGTATATAATTTCTATAATTTTTTAATATACAAATTACAAGATAAAGTAGATTAAAGAAGTGTATTGGATGGTGTATAAAAATGAAAGTGGACAAATACTCTGGGACGGAAATAGTATTAGCTAATAAAATAATTTAGGTTCTTTATGGTTCACAAAGAGAATAGCTAGAGAAAACTGCTTATGGTGTGTACAAACAAGGAAAAATATTACCATGTGTTCCTTAAGAGCTAGGTATTTGTTTTGAAATAAACCCTTATTTGTTTTAAAATCAAAGTGTAAATACTTTAAATTACTTTTACCATTTTTTGACTAATTACCATAAAATTGCATGGTATAAAAAGATTTATACAAAAAAATGGAGTCAACACCTACATAACCCTCACAAATTTGTTTTTGAGCACCTCCTAAAATGCCTTATACTAATGAGGTTGGTTGAACCTATATATTCCCTCCGTTCTTAAATATATTACAATTTTTTTCTCTCTTCTCTCGATAACTTTTGTTTGTTTACGTGATTTCATTAAATATTTGATAAAATAAAATATTCTTGTCTCCACTTGTTTTGTAGAACTTTTGACGTAGTTTTTTAATATGTAATTTTTATATCTTATTAATGTACCAATTTGTAAATAAAATGATTTCAAAAAGTAAAAAATTTTACTCCGTAACCCGCAATTTGTAATCAAATTGGAGACGGAGGGAGTATTTTGGTTCACTTACTCTTAAATTTCGGGTGTGGGACTTGGAGGAATCCCAACAATTATAGGTGCTAGAGAGTATAGACCTGATTTTGAGGAAGCAAATACTTCCATTGCTCACATCAATCAACATAGAAATTTGCTAATAACATAGCAAAATCTAATGCAGGCCTCCATTACAAAAAAAGAACAAAGATCAAAGAAGATGGAAATTCACTAACGTTGTCGAATTTACTCAAACATGTCAGGGTCAGATTTACACCCTTCCCTTTCATTTACTGAAACATGTCAAGGTCAAATTTATATCCTTTCCTTTCATTCCTTTAGTGGTTGTCTAACGTGAAGTCTAGGATGATCGTATCACTCTCGTCCATGTTTCTTCATTAGAGCAACTTTAGTTTGGTGTAGCTTAGCTTTGATTTGAGTTGATTTTACCCATAACTAAGTTTGTTAGTTGGCATTGTTATTCTTTCTTTACACATTCTTGATTATTGTTTTAGATTGAACAAATATTTTACGGAGTATATTTTTCTTTTTAGTGTTGCTTCTTCCTTCTTCTCAGTTCTTCCTTCGCAAGCTTCATTTCATGGATATTTATCAAAACTTATCAATTTTAATTATAAAAAATCAAAATTATATCTTTTAATTTTGGGAAATGCTATAGAGATACACCAAATATACATCACATGTCTCTTTACCATTCATTTTTATTTGATTTGATTTTTTTTTTTTTTGAATTTTACATGCTAATTTATGTAGTTATGGAGGGGGTGGGAATATTTGTTTTCCTTTAATTTTTTACAATTGCAAACCACAAACTTCATAGCACGAAGAACGACGTCGCAAAAGGCCGCTCACACTCTTCGTGAGGGACTCGAAAATGGTGATGGACTGTAGGAACTGGGACGAAGAATCTTACAGAGACTCCATTCTGCAAGAGATAGAGACGAATTGCAGAACCGTATTCCGGACAGCTTTTGGTCCCAACTCGAGCCGCAGCTCCACTCCCGGCCACCTATTTGCGGCCACAAGCGACGGCTCCATTGCCTCATACTCCATCTCTTCCCTCTTGGTAAGCTGTAGATTTTTGCCTTTCAATAATTACGCCGTTATTTGCGTTTTTTCAATTTATGCTGGTCTGGAGTTCACACTTCTTATTCCTAGTTTAATTTCTGTCTTAGGGTTCCTGTCATGGGGATTTCGGATCTGGGAAGTAAGTATATGTTTACAATAATTACTATGTTTTTGCATGTAGTTTTTTTCTTATGGTTTTTAATTTTTGTTCTCAGCTATTGATTATGAATATGGTGATTTTGGTATAGGTTGTTTGCGCCACTTGCAGAGCCTCTTTGGTGGGTTCAAGGGCATGATGGACCTGCCTATGATATTAAATTCTACAGAAACACAGAGGATTCGATATTGTTAAGGTACCAACCATAACTGGCATTTATATAGGGCATTCTTGAGCTTAGATTTCAAATGCATCAACTGTGAAAGAGCAGCATTATCTGAATTTAAAAAAATTATTTCTGTAGACATTAAAAATGCATATGGATTTTTGGTTTTGTAATTTGCTGGATGAGATTGATATGCCTTGGCTCTTGATGAGTCTTTTATTTTGATAGGCCAGAATAGTGTTATGGAAAACATGAAAAAGAGGAGCTGCTATATTCGCGTTTTGGAAAGTTTTTTGACATGGATACATGCTGTCAAGTATTAAGTATAACAACTTTTGGTTCCATATAATTTTCGGCAGTCACACGTTGCTATAATTCCAATTTCCTTTAAATATTATGTAGTTGTGGTGATGATGGCCGAATCCGGGGATGGAAATGGGGAGAAATTTTGGAACCACACAATTCTATTCAAGGTAACTTGACTTGCATCAGTTGCATGGGGTATTAACTTGCTCCTTTCAAGTTTTTGAACTTTTGGAAATAGTTTTCACCCCCCCCCCCCCCCCTTTCCTCTCAATTTGATCATTAGAACCAGCACAGGACAGTAACACCTTAATTATTGTTTGCAGGAGGAAATTCAAAACCAGTGCTTGATTTGGTGAATCCTCAACATAAGTTAGTTCTACAATTTCATAGTCATTTCATGTTGATGAATACGAAGTATATACGATTGCAATTTCTTGGCCTATCTGGAATCTTTTTGTATTAATTGTAATTTGTAAATATTTGTTTTCACTCACACAAAACACATTGATGATTTTTCTTGATAGTAAAGCAATTGAAAGACAGTGCTTGTCAGGGTAGATCCTCAACATAAGTTAGTTCATCTATGATTTGGCATCTATGGTGGTAAATTACTCTTGTTCCAAACTTATTTTTGTCCCTGAAAAAAAAATAAGTTTAGAAATATAAGTAGGTTTGATAATTGTTAAACTTCCTTTGCTTCATACTTTCTATGAAATCTTGGGTAGTAAATGCAACAATGCATCTAGGGCCTCACGGGAACACCCTCTTTGTTATTACAGGGGTAGGGTTGTGTACGTCAGTATATGTTGACCTCCCAGAGGACATCTTGGGTAGGTTGTTGTTGTAAGTAGGATCAATAATTTACCAGAGTACCCTATTAAAAATAAAAAATTTTACCTTAATGAAACATGACTTTTTTCTTGGGATGTAGGGAGTGTTTCACTGTCACTCCTCCTCCTCCAACACACCCACACACCCACCCACACACCCACACACCCAACTGGAGGGAGATGAGGGAGGGCGAGGTGAGAGGGGATGATTGTGGATGCTCACAATCCATGACCTTCCATTGTGAAAAATATTTACCTGCGTTTTTGTTTCCTCATATCTCAGAGGCCCATGGGGTGCACTTTCACCAATCCCAGAGAACAATGCTATTGCTGTTAATCCACAGGTTTGGAGTTCTGTTATACATTTCTAAACATTAATTCTATTCGGTCTATGACTAATTGCAACAAGTAGTTTATGTTCAACAATGACATGGCTGTGACATCCTTATGTTATTTGATTCCGAAGATTCTATTGACTATATTTCAAACTGAGATGACCTTATTTATTGCCCGATGAAAAACAATAACTGTGAGTCACATTCATCTAAACATATGGCTAAACAGAAACATCAGAAAGGGTGACTTGCAACTTTTCCTGTGTACAATGCCACAGTGATGCATTAAAAATTCAAACACCATACAGGTTGATAACCCTACGGTATACTCACCATTGATTGATGTGGCATGCAATTGTCTGTTCTTATTCACAGAATGGAACAGTATTCGCTGCTGCTGGTGATTCATGCGCTTATTGCTGGGATCTGGTACGTATATGCTTAAGCTAACTTGTAAACCTCTTGGGTTTTACAAGAAATTTGTAGAAGGGGTGAACTTTTTAACCATCTGTACTCTTTTCCTATGTTTTATCCTCATATCATCTTACATTCTTATTTATCATGACTATCAGGAAAGAAGTGAGATAAAAATGGTCTTTAAGGGACATTCAGACTATCTTCATTGCATTATTGTGCGTAATGCGCACGATCAGGTTAAAAGGCCTTTTATTCATTGGCACTGAAATTTGAAATTTTGCTGTGTTTGTTTTGTGCTTGGTTCCAAACACCAAAATGCATTTTTTAAATTTTTATTAGGTAATAACTGGTTCGGAAGATGGAACAATACGAGTTTGGGGTAAATATTTGGCCTCATAAGTTCATATCTTAATGAAATTTAGACCTTTATTGTCCCTCCTTTGATATATGGAATTGCATGTAATTTCTGGTCGTAGATTGTAAAAGTGGAAAGTGTGTGCAAATAATTGATCGGAAGAAGGATAAGACCCTGAAAGAAACTTTTCCATACATTAGTTGCATTGCCCTTGATGCAAGTGAGAGCTGGCTGGTACAACTTTTCTTAAACTTCTTTTTTGGGGGGAACTTCTGTGGAGTTAACTTCCAGCTGTAATGAGTAATGACTGACTATGATTTCTATGACTCATATAGGCATTTGGAAGTGGCCCGTCGTTATCAATCTGGAACCTTCCCGCGTCTCATTGCATAACAAGGATAACAACAAGTTCTGCTATGCAAGATGTTATTTTTGATGACCATCAAGTTAGTATGCTTAAAATTTAACTTTTCTACTTTCCCCCCTCTGGCCCTCTGAGTCCAGATGCATTGTACCCCGCCGGTCTGTACCACACAGTGTGACAATTAATTAAGGGCTGGTTCTTTTTGCCATAAATTTAACTGGAATGTGGTAGCTAGAGTCTTTTAATTGGAATTTCGAGTTTGATGCAATAGTACTTTTAGCTAAAATCTGGATACTAGAGTATGATCTGGTAACTGGAGTAAGGATTCTGGACACCAGATAATTGGAATATAAAAATGGAAATATCAAGCCATAAATCACCTGTTTTTTTGGCACTTTGCTACTTTTTGTTCATGCAATATGGCTTCTGTGTTGATTTACATTGAGTTTGTGCTTGAGTTGAGGGTCTGGAAACAACCTCCCTCCCCTCGAGTAGAGACAAGGTGTACTACAACTGTCGTACTCACTTCCTTCCCAGACCTTGCTTTTGTGGGATTTTACTTGGTTAGTTAAATATTTATCTTTCAAACAATAAGATCATGTCTCTATTTGGTTACGTAATTTAATACGTAGTTTTTATTAAGCACAGGTTTGCATAAATGTTCAAAACATGATGTTTTGTTTATCAGGAAATAATGGAAGTATGAGCGAATGATTGTTTAGCTTGCCAGTTTGCTGAAGAGTTTTTTGTTTTATCTTAGGTTTTGGCAGTAGGATCAGAGCCTTTACTCAGCCGGTTCAGTATGGGTGGGGAGATCATTTCACAAATACAATGTGCTCCTGAATCAACATTTTCCATCTCATCACATCCTTCTCGGGTAAAAATCCCGAAACTAAGGGGGAGTGTTTGGGTGGGGGAAATGATGTTAAGGCAAAATATCTTTCTGTTTGGCTCTAGAAAACGCGGAAAATGTTTTCTAGGAAAAACCATTCCCCCCAACCAAACACGACCTAATTCTTAATGCTCGCCTGTTATTTCTCAGACAGAAGAAACATGTCCACAATACCGTGTCCTTAATTGCTTTCAGGTTACAGCTGTGGCTGGCTATGGAGCGTTAGTAGATGTAATTTCAGAGTTTGGAAGTCATATGTGTACATTCCGGTGCAAGGGTTAATGGGTAAATCAAGCAGCATGAACCCTTTACCATTCTTTCGTCGTGTTTCATTTGGCTGTCTCGGAGTTAGCCTATTACCGGAGTAATTAGACTGTGGGTACCTCAGCTCTACTGAAGTAGAGTATAGGTCTATTTTAGGGGTGAGCATTGGTTTGTATCAGTCGGTTTCAGTCCAAAACCAAAATTAATATTAATTTATAATAACTGTGACCGAACGGAATTGCCAAAAATCAAACACCGAACCCGATTTTAACCAAATCGGTTCAGTGGGTTTTTAACAACCGAGCAGCAATGCACGAACTGGAAATGCACTGGAATTGCCGTATCACTTGATCAAGTAAAAGCTGGTTAAATATAGATTAATAGATACGGAGTATATGAAATTCGAACATGAACATATGGAACTAAAATTTTGAAAATACAAAATTAAAATTTTGACCAATTTCATTCACCAATTTGCTAAAGTCTGAGCAATAATATTAAATGATCTACGGACAAAGGGATAAGCAACCATATCAAAATCAAGCCACATGAATTTCCAAGCATCAATCAACGATCCAAAAATGACTCATAGTCAGTCCTCTTGTCTCAGAGCATCCACCACTTGCAACCACGCCCCAAAAGCTAAGAGATCGTCGGTCTCCCTACAAGCCATAGCCTCAACTAACAAAGAATTCTTAAAAATGCATGTCGAAATTTGTGTAGAGAAGAGAATGAATTTGAACCATATATAGATTTTTTTAATTAAAAAGAAATGGAAAAAATAATTATGGACATCAAAAAAGGATATTGAGAAGATTAAAAATGACATTGTTTTTAAAATCCATAATCTAATTACTAGATTCTGATCGAGATTTTAATTTAATTTATTATTGCATCTACATTCTAGACTTCTTCTATTAGATTCTAGTTACCAAATTTGAAACTTTAAACTTAAAGTTTAGATAAAAAGAACAAATTCTAACCTTAAAGTTCCATATCTAATCACAAAAAGAGATGGACTTTTTAGAGTAAATTCTGAAGTTGTTCATTTAAAATTGGTATTTTTTATAAGAGTCATGCTAGGGATACACCAAATGGTGTACCCTATTTGTGCACCGTTCATAACCATTGAATTTTTATTCATTTTTTTTAATTTTTTTCCATACTTGAGATTGTATGGTGGAGATGGAGTGACGTGCATTTGGGGTACAAAAAGTGTACTCCTAGCATTTTTGTTTTTATGTTTAGTCTTTTAGTAGAAAATATTACGTTCATGGTCTTCATTTATGAATAGTTTTGCATTCGATCTTTCATCATTCTGGTGTTAAATTGAAAGCTAAAAATTTAATTTCACATCAACCTTAGGTCCGACCATGTATTCTAATGTGAGCTTGATAGACAATATAACAATAATGACTATGATATGGCTACAGACTTGGATTTCAACCAACGATGATAGTTGTGCACTATGATTGCGGTGGGCATGTGATATTATTATACTTTTAGCCTAATATAAAGAGCTCGGGACCAGATGAGTACGATAGTGGATTCTTTAAAACACAATGGAAACAGGTTGGTAAGTTGGTGAATGAAGCTGCGATGGAATTCCTCCAAACTAAGAAGACTCTTAAACAAATTAATGCCACAAGTATTACTATCATCCCCAAGAAAGATAATCCCAAATTCCCATCCGACTATAGACCTATTGTCTCCTGCAATGTGGTATATAAGATCATACCTAAACTCTTAAGCATTAAACTTAAAAAAGTCTTACCAGATCTTGTGAATAGGAATCAGGGAGCATTCATCAAAGGTAGGGAACTTGTTCATAATGTGCTCTTACATCAGGAATAAGCAAGGGAGTATAAAAGGAAAGACATCTTTCTTAGATGTATGATGAAGTTAGATATTCAAAAAGTATATGACTCAATTAGCTAGAAAGTGTTAGAAGAGATTATGATTCTTATGAAGTTTCCTGATAAATTCATACAATGGGTGATGTTTTGTGTAAAAATCCCTTCATACTCCCTCGTGATTAATAGAGAACCCCATTGGTTTTTAAGGGAGAAAAAGGCCTGAGACAGGTCACCATTATTGTTTGTGCTTGTGATGGAGTACCTCATGAGACTTGTACAAAATCAGTCCCAGAAAAAAGGGATTCAAATTTCATCAAATGTGTTCGTCTCTCAAGGTAATTAACCTCATTTTTGCAGATGGTGTCGAGGAACCAATTCAACCAAAAGCTCAAGCTTGTGGTTGTGGCACAGGAACAGTTGTTTATATTCTAACAGATGGCCTCATTATTGCTTGTAAGGGAGACCCTGGAACTGTCCAAAGTATTATGAAAAACATGATGCAAACTAGAGAGCAAGGATGAAAAAGATTCATAAATAATGATACAACTTCTTGTTATGTGAGGTAGAGGAGGAGGATACGAATAACCTCTTTTGTAAATGAAGATTTATTAGGAGTGTAATGAAGAAGATCTCTAAGAGGCTGAAGTGCGAGATCAAAGGAGAAAGCTTCCAAGAGATATGGGGGAGAATATTTGGTAGATGAAACCAGTGTATAAGATCAGAGGAATATAGCCAATGCTGCATGGATGGCTACTTGAGACAATATTTGTAACGCAAGGAATTCAAAACCTCACCAAAAGGAGATCAAAGAGGAAAAAGTTATAACTAGTATTAAATATCATGTTCAATCTATAACAAATAGTATGTGGCCTCAATTTTGTAACTAAAGGTGGGGGTTGTAAATGCTTTGTGATTTCTGAATAAAGATGAGTACTTTCTTTCAAAAAAAAAGAAGAAATATTTGCTGAAAAATACCCATAAACAACAGATCACAAACTATTAGCCTCTAATGGTACAATATATAGAAAATCCTCAATTTTAAATACTCGTTACTATTTATAGAACTTATTCAGTAATTTAAGACAATTGCTAGCAACCAAAAAAGTTACGGAGTATAATATTGATTCTTATCCTTTTTTGCCTTTTTTATATTCTAAAATATGAAGAATTCAATTCCTAGATTTTTTCAAAGATTGTGTCGAATACTTATCTGAAGTAGAAATGTCCGCACAAGAATACCCCTAAAGAGCAGATCACAATCTATTAGCCTGTAATAATACTAAATATAGAAAATCCAGAATTTTAAATACTCGTTATAATATTTATATAATAATTATTCGTTATTTTACTATTCGTTATAATATTAATTATATTCCTTTTTAATTTTTTATTACTCTAAAAATGAAAATTTCAATTCATAGGCATTTTCAAAGATCGTGTCGAATACTCATCTAAAGCAGAATTATTCGTGGAAGGATACCCATAAAGAATAGACGGCAAACTATTAGTGTATAATAAAGCTATATATAGAAAATCCTCAACTTTAAATAATCCTTACTATTCATACAATTTATTCATTAGTTTAATGCAAATACTGTTACAATTAAAAAAGCAATAAACTTAATTCTTTTCCCTTTTCACTTTTGTATTATTCTAAAAAATGAAAAATTCAATTCCTAAATTATTCAAAAATCGTGTCGAGTACTTTTCGGAAGAAGAAATATTCGTGAAAGATACCCATAAAGAATATAAAACAAACTATTAGCCTGTGATATAGCTATATATAGAAAATCCTCAATTTTAAATACTCGTCACTATTTATAGGATTTATTCAATATTTTAATACAAGTATTGCTAGCACCTAAAAAAGTTATAATTTTAATTCTTTTCCTTTTTTACTTTTTTTATTTTAAATATGAAAAAATCTATTTCTAGAATTTTTCAAATATCATGCCGATTACTTATCTAGAGTACAAATATTTGTGGAAGAATACCCATAGAGAACGGACCGCAAACTATTAGCGTGTAATAGTACTATATATAGAAAATTTTAAATTTTAAGTACTCATTACTATTTATATATTTTATTCATTATTTTAATGCAAGTAGTGCTAGCAACCAAAAAAGTTATAATATTAACTCTTTTTCCTTTTTACTTTTCTATTATTCTATAAAATGAAAGATTCAATTCCTAAATTTTTCAAAGGTCGTGTCGAATCCTAATCTGAACTAGAAATATTTGTGGAAGAATAACCATAAAGAACAAACCACAAACTATTAGCGTGTAATAGTACTATAAATAGAAAGTCCTTAATTTTAAATACTCGTTATTATTTATAGAGTTTATTTATTATTTTAATGCAAGTATTGCTAGCAACCAAAAAATTTATAATACTTATTCCTTTCCATTTTCACTTTATTATTATTATATTCTAAAAAAATGAAAATTTCAATTCCTAGAATTTTTCAAAGAACGTTTCGAATACGTATCTAAAGTGCAAATATTTCGAAAGGATACCCATAAAGAAGCGACTATAAACTATTAGCGTGAAATAGTACTATATATAGAAAATCCTAAATTTTAAATAGTCGTTACTATTTATTATTTTAATGCAAGTATTGCTAGGAACCAAAAAAGTTATAATATTAGTTCTTTTCCTTTTTCACTTTTTTATTAATCTAAAAAATGAAAAATTCAATTCGTAGAAATTTTAAAGATCGTCTCGAATACTTATCTGAAGTGGAAATATACGTGGACATATATCCATAAAGAACATGCCACAAACTATTAGCTTGCAATAGTCCTCAATTTTAAATACTTGTTATTATTTATAAAATTTATTCATTATTTTAATGCAAGTATTGCTAGCAACCAAAAGAGTTAGAATATTAAGAAAGAAAAACCAAAGTAGGACTAAAACATTGAAAATATACTCAAATAGGACTTTCATGTTTTTATTCCCAAAATAGGACTTACATTACCAAACATGATCATATACATTACCAAAAAAATATAGTAATGAGCACATGTGCACTGCCACATTACCACAGTACAAAGTCGCATTACCATAGTGCAAAGTCCGACCTATTTCGAAAAAAAACATGAAAGTCCTATTTTGGTATTTTTATCTATGTTTAAGTCCTATTTAGGGTGATTTTTAGAATATTAATTCTTTTCCTTTTTTATATTTTTATTCTTCTAAAAAATGAAAAATTCAATTCCTAGATGTTTTGGAAGATAGTGTTGAATACTCATCTAATGTAGAAACATTTGTGGAAGGATACACACAAAGAACAGACGGTAAACTATTATTGAGTAATAGTGCTATATTTAGAAATCCTCAATTTTAAATACTCGTTACAATTTATAGAGTTTATTCATTATTTTAATGCAAGTATTGCTAGCAACCATAAAAGTTATAAAATTATTTCTTTTCCTTTTTCACTTTTTTATTATTTTTAAAAAATGAAAAATTCAATTCCTATATTTTTTTTGTAGATCGTGTCGAGTACTTATG